GTTGATTGTACTATGCATATTATGTAGAAAGAGGACTATTTACGAGGTTGACAACCAAATTATAAACAGATATGATATGCTTCATCTTCTACGTGGTGGAAGAATGAAGGACGAGGTTAGATTTTATTTAACTTTTGGTGTTATTCAAGTTTTTGATATTACATGATTTATTGCATTTGCAATCGTTAGACCGTTGAAGCACTGGTTGCAAGACTTCAAAAATGGCTCAAGCTGCCGGAAAATGCCGATGGGGAAAGAAAATTTGCTATGATCACATCATATTTTAGTGTGAGAAATATCGATCATAATACTTTTACAAGTTATATTGTATTTATATGTTATTTGACTTTCTTCTCCTTATTCTTTTTTAAGATTTGGTTGCTAACTGCTTTAAATTTGGATGAGAAAAATGTCTATAAAAAGTATATAAAGAAGCATATAGATGATGGGAAGGATATTCTGATAATTCCGATATGTCACACTGATCATTGGTATGTCCTTAAGGTCAATTTGGGGCAAAAAATACAGACATTACAGTTCCGTTGACCACGAGGCATGGGCTGGAGACGTGTTGACAATCCAACTATTTTTAGATATGATGGTAAGTGGATTCGACCAGGCGTCAACATTCATAGCATTCGAATATGAAGTAGTAGTTCCTTGTCGAATGCAAAAAGGCTCGTAAGTTTCTCTAAACAGCTTATTCTTACCAGTTTATTAATTGATGTGATACTTGCTTATCTGTGATGCATAATCATTATCAGTGATATGTGCTTGCGTTATGCGACATTTATGCATTATATGTGATATATAATTTTTATCAGTGATATTTGTTGTTGTTTTGTGACATATATTGGTTTCATGTGACATATGATGGTTTTATGTAACATATGTTGGTTTTATGTGACATTTATGCATTTTGTGTGACATATGCTGCTTTTATGTCACGTATACCGGTTTCATGTGACATTTGGCATTGTGAATGATGCTGTTATGTGACATTTATATATTCCGTGTGATATATTCTCATTATCCGTGATATATATTGTTGTTATGTGATATTTATACATTACAATGTGATTTTACCTCTTTTCTATTTAGGTACGATTGTGGCATACATGAATATTTTTTCATCAAAGCGATCCTAGAAGGAAGGGAGGCAATGAATATTGAAGCATTGCAAATGATGAAATGTTAGGGAAGGACTTGCTGCTCAAATCATATGTAAAGGCTGAGAATGGGAGAAGTTGCGACTGAAGTTAGATGTAGATGATCCAGAATATCTTTGGTATTTTGGGGGTAATGATGTACTATTGATTGAGTGGAAGTATTAGACAAACACATATAACGTAATTCTTTGTTGGATGTTGGATGTTCATTACCAGTTTGTAAATTTTGAGACTTGTGGTGACAATGATGAAATGTGCAATGATAAATTGTGTATTTGTGATTTCTCCATGAACTTTTCTTTAGCAAATTATATGGAATCTGAAAGTATAGATCTTATAGGTGTCACAGTTAATACCAATAAGTCACACGAACAGATAATATGTAACATTTAACTCGTAAATGTCACAACAAAATATCAAAAATAACATATAACAGACAACAATCCCAAAACTGTCTGAATTCTGCCAGGAAACGTTAGTCTTGGATGGGTTCAGTGCATGTGGCTCGGTTGTGTCCTTCCGCGTGATATCTTGAGCATTTAATTGGATGTCTATTCACAGATCAGTTGTTGATACATCTATTCTTGTTCCTTCCATGTCTATTTATCTTCTTTGGGGGAAGTATGCCAACTGTTTCATCTGTGATATTTGGCTTATCGTAATTCGGAACATGAAAGAGAATTGGTTTGTAACTTTTCTTAAAAGCTTCAGTCGTCATGAACTAATCATAATACTGGTACACATCTCTATGCATAAAGTTAATAGCATGACACACATGTTTACATGGTATTCGTAATATATCCCATGCACGACACGTGCATGTTTTGTGTTCCAAATCAACTTGTACTAATTTGTGAGATGATACCTCAAAGATTTCAGCTGTAGAATGTGAGACTTCAAGAGTGCTTCCCTTCATACAATTTTCTTGGAGAATTTTTTCCGCTTCAGGACATAGATAGTTATTCCATTTTGTTGCCATCTCGTGGTGAGTATTCATCCTTTTTATAATTTATACACGAATGTGATCCATCATATCGCAAACATGAAGTGTTCTCGCCACATGAATCCAATTGTTGAAAGATTCAGCAACATAGGAAGTAATATGACCATATCTGTAAATAAATACCATATGTATTATACAGAAACTCACTATCACAAAGTACGGCTATGTGTCATATATGAACGACAAATTTCACAAGCAACAGCAAATTGTCACATCCCACAGATAAGATTCACATCTAATAGAGTGATGCCACATGAGATGAGTAAAGGTCACACATAATAGACAAACGTCGCATATAAAAGTATAATGTGACATTTAACAGATCAAATTCATAGAAAATGACTGATATTTGACGTACCTTATATCAGGAAATACAAAATTCGCCCAATTATTTGGACCAAAACCGAGAGCTACTTGGTAAGCTCTTTGATCCGCCATCCTAATCTCATGTAAAACAGCTTTAAATTATCTTTCTGTATATGTTACCTAAAGCTAAAAATAATCTTTTGAATCCTTACTTAAGCTCTGTTTCTGTCGGTATGGCATGCATGGATCCTTCATCTCTTTAGTAACAGCCATGGTTATCGTATTTAACTCCATTGAACGATGATAATCTTTCATGTTGAGAATATATTCATCTTTTGAAAGCTCAAACGAGACATTGAGATACTTCTTGAGAGAGTAACTAATCAACAAACTTTCGTACGATAATATTAAATTCTCTACAGCTTGCATCTTCAATTCAACAAAACTTGTTACAGAATTAACTTTAATGAGGGTTGCATTTGTGTTAAAGGAAATCACACACATTAAAGATTATTTCATTTTGGTTGTTGAAGAAGTTAAGAGGAAAACGTTAAGAATATTTTGGTTGTTGAAGGTTGTTGAAGATCTTATGAGTAGAATCTAAAGAGGGAAGAAGATATTATATTGACATAGGGCTTATTTGAAAGAAACTTAATATGTTTCCCTCTAATTTTTCATTTCCCTCCAAAAAAACTCTCCTAGCCATCAATGACATTCTTACCAATTCTCTTGAACCCAATCGGATGTCACGTCCCATTGTATAATGGAATGAGGGTTGCCCAATAAGACAAAATAGTTTTGACATTCCACAAATGGGTACAAAAGGGTACAAAAGGGTAAAGTGGGCAATACTTAAAAATACAATATAAATTACATATACAATGTTAGGCTAGAGGTGTTTTAGCATGGAAACATAGGTCAAAGAGTTTACAATGGGTGGAGTCTAGTTGGAGGTGGAGGATGCATAACTTTTTACAAATTGCTTGCTCCAAGCAATTTTCCCTTAAAAAAAAGTGTGGTTCTCGAGTTATTACATCCATTATTCTATATTTCATTTCATGTCAATTTAAAAGGATAAGGTCAGGGAGGAAACAATTTTTGTTTAGTATTGATTGTGAAAAGAAAATGAGAAATATATATTACAAAAAAGTCTTTTTTTATTCTTTTTAAAATGAGAAATATGTATTACAGAAAAGTTTTTTTTAACATGGTAAGATGGCCAAATTTACTTGCACTGGACTTTCGGAGCAACAATGGCAGCAACAACAACAATTACAACAATAATTATTAAGAAAAACGTGAATGATTGTAAACTAATTAGTCAATAAACGACACCTATGGTCCTATGGATAGTTGAAAATAGTTTTCTTTCATTTTACTCTAGACAAAAAATTCTTAGGTTCTACATGCCTTCTAAAGTTCGAAATTCTTACAACTATAAGTACAACTACAAATGCTAGGAAGTGTCCAAACGGAAATAATAGTTATTGATCAAAGTAGCTATTTTTGAGATAAATATGGAAAAAAATACTAATTTTCACAAAGAAAATCCACAGCTTACCTTAACCTTCAGGTTCACTATTTAGTATTCTAACTAATAAGTATCTAATATTTTTCGTCTTGATTGCACTTAATACCCTATAGATTCCTCTACTTTGCACTATACACCCTGATTTGCTGGTGTCAGCACTCATATATCCTAAAATTTTATTGTACTTAAATATCCTCAGTTATGCAAATGAGAACATTTCCCCATGAAAATTCTCATGCAACACTTATTTGCTAATTTTATAATTTTTAATCCTATTTTGTTAGATTGACCACTGAAACTATCAATTATATTTTAAACATACTCTAATTTACTTTTTAAATTAGATTTTTATAGATTTAATAGTAAAATTAACAAATATTAAGAGTTAAATTTTTCTAAAATTAGCATACTGTGTCGCATAAGAATTTTTAGAAGAAATTCTTATGTTTGAATAACTAAGGGTACTAACATGGAAATTTTTTGGAAATTTAGAAACTTTAGTAGAAAAGTACTACCGAAAATAATTGAGGGTATATAAGAGCATAGTAGAGAGAACAATAGAGTATTCAAGTGCGATAATCTTATACTAACAATTTTTGAAATAGACCTATTTTAATATTTATAAAAAAATTGACTCATTTTAATTTTATTTATAAAAATCAACGTAGTTTCAATCGTAAGGGCATTTTTAGTTGAAACTGGGTCGATTTAAAAAAAAACATATGTCACTAGTTAGACAAGGTTGTCAACCCCGTCTAATTAACAGAACACGTTTGAAAAAATTCGTGGACAAGTACTTTGAACCTAGTTCAAAAATAACTGGGATTGCCAATCATAACTACTTTAAACTTAATTATTTTTACTAATTAAGCGGTGTTACCAACCACAATTAATTATAAAAAGTTATTTTAAAAAAATATAATAAGTTGATCCAATTTCATCCTGTCCTGCTAACATGGCCGGATCAAATTTTGAAACCGAGCCAGGAAAAAAGCCGTATACAGTTGAAGTCAAAGAACCGCTCCAGCCCATTTCTCCACGCCCAAGCGCAGAGAGAGAGAGAGAGAGAGAGAGAGAGAGCTGAGCAATGGCGAATCAAGGAGCGAAGAAAAGGAAGGAGGAGAACAAGAAGCACATGGCCAATCTCCTCCGCCTTATCATCGCCTGCAACGTACGTGATTATTTCGCTCGTTAACTGTCTCCATTAGATTTTTTCCAATAGTTAGAGATCGATGCTAACAAATTCAATTAGGGCTTGAAAACTACTTGTTTATAATGCCCTAAAGTTACTACCTTGGTCTTGTTCGGGTTCACCAGGGGCTCATATTTGCCATTTAGGGTCTTTATTGAGTCTAGGATTAGGCTTGTTCTTTGAAATTGTTGAAGGGCATCGATTAATTGGAAAAGGAAAGAAATTAAGATTTAAATGATGAAGGATGGCGGTCATGTTGACTCTTAAGTTTACAAACTTAGAACTCTCCCAAATAAAAACAAAGAACTTACTTTTATTTCTTCAATTTTTTTCTTGATGAAACAAGGATTACAATAGCCCTTTACATAGACTTCAAAAACAAAACGTATAGGCATACCAATAGTCACAAATTAAACTCTTCTTTTAATGTCATAAAGATAAAATATCATAAAGGAGTAACTCTTATTCTTCCATAACCTCTGTCTCTTCCCCTTCTAAACTTATGACCCTTACACTTCTAAAACTCATGCTATTAACCTCATTTATTCTAACATTTTAATTTGATATTCCAATATGCCCCTTCAAATCAAAATGTCTTTATGCCAAGCATGTCTCTTAGCCTCATGAAAGTTTTGCCTGATAATGGCTTGGTGAATATGTCTGCTACTTGTTCAGTGGTGTGACAATGCTTCAGTTTAACGAGTTTCTGATTTACATGGTCTCTGAGAAAATAAAACCGTGTATCTATGTGTTTGCTCCTCCCATGATGTACTGGGTTCTTTGCAAGCTGGATGACTGATTTGTTATCCACAAAAAATACAGTCGAGTCTTCTTGTGGATGATCCAACTCTTTTAATATGTTTAGCAACCAAATTGCTTTACATACTGTAGATATAGCCACCATATACTCTGCTTCACATGAAGATAAGGCCACAACTCATTGCTTCTTTGAGGTCCATGAAAATGCAGTTGACCCAACATAGAAGACAGCCAGTGGTGCTTTTTCTCTTATCTTAGTCACCTCCTCAGTCACTATCTGAGTAACCAACTAGTTGTGCATTTTCATCATATGCATAGAAAAGACCCAAGTTGAGTGTGCCTTTGATATACCTTAGTATCCTCTTCGCAGCTAGCCAGTGAGGCTCCTTCGGTGTCTCCATGTAACGACTCACAAGTCCGACTCTATAAGTAATATCGGGCCTTGTGATCGTCAAGTATCTCAAGCTGCCAACTAGACTTTTGAAAAGAGTTGAATCCATGAAACGTCCATCTCCTTCTCTTGAGAGCTTTATTCCGATGGTTACTGGGGTGTTCATAGGGTTGCATTCATTCATCTTGAACTTCTCTAAGATCCCCTTCATGTAATTATTCTGGGATATAAAAATCCCCTCTTGCTGCTGCTTCACTTCAATGCTAAGAAAATAGGACATCAATCCATTGTCCGTCATCTCAAATTCATTGAACATTGCCGTCTTGAATTTAGCAAGCATCTCGATACTGTTTCCTGTGTACAATAAATCATCAACATAAAGACAAATTATTAGAAATTCGCTTTTATGGTTCCTCTTCATGTAGATGACATGTTCATAGGGATATTTAATGAAGTCATTTTGATGAAGATAGCCATCAATTCGGGCGTTCCATGACCGTGGTGCCTGCTTTAAGCCATACAAGACTTTCTTCAAATGGTACACTTTGTCTTCTTGCCCTTTCACAAGAAAGCATTCTAGTTGTTGCACGTACACCTCTTCCTCAAGAACGCCATTGAGGAATGCTGACTTGACATCCAAATGATATATATCCCACTTGTGATGAGCTGCAAGTGAAATTAATAGTCTCACCATATCCAGTCGAGCAACCGGAGCAAAGACTTCTTCATACTCAATGCCGTACTTTTGTTTGTAACCTTTCGCTACAAGCCTCGCCTTGTACTGATCAACTTCACCATTTGCTGTGTGCTTGATATTGTACACCCACTTAACCCCTATTGCCTTGTGATTTTATGGAAGTGTTGTCAACTCTAAAGTGTTATTCTTTTGAATAGCGTGGATCTCCTCCTCCGTTGTTGTTCGCCAACAATCTTCTTTTACGGCTTCTTGAAAGGTGTGAGGTTCATGATCAGCATATAAGCAGAAGAGATTTGACTCTCCGTCTTCTTCTATCTACTCATAGATCTCCCTGAGACTTCTCATTTTAATGAGACCTCGTTGCACGGTAGATCCGCTGCTACTACCTTCCCCAGAAGATGGAGAACCTCTTGCAGGAGAGGGTGTAAAATGTGGAGGAGATGGTGGTGTAGCTAGTATGTATAAGTATATATAAGTATATTTTCTCTTATATAAGTATATATAAGAATACTCTTGTGTACAGTGTATACTCTCTCGTATATATGTATATATACTCTCTCTCTCTTAGTATATATGTATATATAAGTATATACTCTCTCTTATATATGTATACTCTCTTATATAAGTATATATAAGTATACACTCTCTTATATATGTATAATATATGTGTGTGTATATATATATATATACTCTCTCTCTTAGTATATATGTATATATAAGTATACTCTCTTATATATGTATACTCTCTCTTATATAAGTATACTCTCTCTTATATATGTATAATATCCGTGTGTGTGTGTGTGTGTGTGTGTATACTCTCTCTCTCTTAGTATATAAGTATATATAAGTATAGTATATTACAACGGCTACTTCTTCCCCATTGGCCCAACGGACAACGGCTACTTATGCGATTTTCTCTCTCTCAAGTTATAACTTATAAATATATACAATATATTTACATATAATATATGTATATATAATACGTAGTTACATAATAATTTGTAAGTATATACTAATACATAATTATATAAAATATAATAATGTTAAACTAATTTTTAGCATTTTTTTATCAAAAAAAAAAGAAAAGAAAAGAAATTTAAAAAATCTAGTTAGGATGTACTTATCTATTGTGATGCGATGAATTCTAAAATAAATTTATACTTATAAATTGTAAATGATTTATTAATTATTAATAAAGAATTTATTTTTATAATTTTTTATTTGTAATTTATGTTATTTTAAGTGATTAATAAAATTATTGTTTTTTATTAATTTTTTTTTGTCTTTTTTTGTATAATTTAAATTTTAAATAGAATTTAAAAAAAAAAGAAAATAAACCGGGCCGGCCCGGAACCCGGCCCGGGGTACCCGGGTCTGGGCTCCGGTTTTGCCCGGCCCGGGCTCGGATTTCCGGGCCGGCCCAGATGGACACACCTATAGCTAGTGATGGTTCCTCATGTAGAGACTCATTAGGTTCATTCACCACGGGTTGATGTTTGGTAGTCTCTTTATTGCTCCAGTGCCATGCTTCTTTATTAAAGACAACGTCTCTACTAACAACTAGTTTCTTGGTTAGTGGATTGTAGAGCTTGTATGCCTTCGACTCCTCGCTATATCCGATGAAAATACATTTTTTACCGCAATTGTCAAGCTTCTTCCTTTTGATTTCAGGTACTTGAGCATATGCAACACACCCAAAAATTCATAGGTGTGCCACACTAGGCGTGTAACCGCTCCATGCCTCTTGAGGTATCTTGTTCTTCACTATCTTTGTGTGGCATCGGTTGAAAAAATAAGCTGAGCAAGCCACGACTTTTGTCCAGAACTTCTTTGGCAATCCCTTTTCTTTGAGCATGGTTCTTGTCATGTCGAAGATGGTCCGGTTCTTTCTTTTGGTAATGCCATTTTGCTGTGGTGTGTAGGCAGTAGTAAACTGTCTTTTTATACCTTGCTCCTTGTAATATTCTTGAAACAGATTTGAGGTGTACTTACCACCTCGGTTAGATCGAAGAATTTTTAGCTTGTGGCTGCTCTCTGCTTCAACTAAAACTTTAAAATGCTTGAATGTAGTAAATGCAGCAGATTTTTCTTTAAGAGTGTACACCCACTACTTTCTACTAAAGTCATCAATGAAGGTTATAAAATATCTATTACCTCCCAAAGAGATAGGATCGATCGGTCCGCAGATGTCAGTGTGAATAAGTTGCAATGGTGCCTTTGCTCTCTATGATTCTCCACTGGGAAAAGGAAGTCGTGGTTGTTTGCCAATTACACAGCCTTTACAAATATGATTCGGTAGATCGATTGTTAGTAGACCTTGTACCATGCCAGCTGTAGACAGTAACTTCAGGCCGCTGAAGTTTAGATGGCCGAAGCGAAGATGCCACTTCCATGACTCATTCTCCATGAGTCCTTGAAAACACTTATCGACTTTCATGTTTAGTTGCAAGGGAAACATGCAGTTCCTTGTCATCTTAACACAAGCTATGAGGCCTCCATTTGCATTTTTCAACCAAAGATGGTTGTTCTCCATATATACTTTGTATCCCTTTCCGAGTAATTGACCGATGCTAAGAATATTACTTTTCAAGTTAGGAATATAGTAAAAATCGGAAATATACTCGGGCTTATCATCCTTTTGGTAGATTTTAATCTTCCCTTTGCTTTCAACCGTGAGTTTTGAAGAATCTCCGAGGCTCACACTTCCATGAACTCCTTCTGCGAGTTCCATGAAAAGTTCTTTCTTCCCGCACATGTGGTTGCTAGCACCCGAGTCAAGGTACCAAGCATCATTCTCAACACTTGAATCATCATTAGCAAGAAGAAGCGTAGAGTTGTTACCCATATCATTTGTTGCTTCGGCAAGATTGGTTTGGTCTTTAGTTTTGTGCCAACAATCTGAAGCATAGTACCTAAACTTGTGACAGTTATAGCACTGAACATACTTGTTGTTTCCACGCCCAGGTATGGATCTTCCACGATTGCTTCGTCCTCGTCCTCTAAAGCTTTGGGTCACTACTTGATTTTGAGTGGTTTGCTGTTGGGGACCACGTCCCCTGCCTCTACCACGACGACGACCACAACCTTTACCTTGTGAGCCTTGATTACTTATGTTTTCGTGGAAAGCTGCCTTCATCATTGATTTCATTAAACTTTAGTCGTTACAAATAAATTCAAATAACAAAAATAAAAATTATAACTTTCTTGAAAATAAACACAAGATTCGTTTATCGGCTCTTGCTTGCGTGGGTTCTTTACCGGTGTCGGGGTTAATCAGTGGACGACCGCGAATCAGATCCGGTTGCAGGAAAATTCGGCAGAGCTTCGCCTTCGCCGAGGAAGTTTTCTGGTTTGAAGCGCTGAGATCGACAAAACAAAATCAGGGCTCTTCTCGAGATTAAGACCAAGCCTAATCTCAAGGAACGGACGTACGGGCTTCGGATCCTTCGAGCGGCTTCTCCTTTGTACCGAAGTTCGTCGGGATCTCGTTGACCTTCGCTGAAATTTTATGCTCCTTCACTCTTCAATCCAGCAGCACCTCGTCCTCTTGATAAAATTCCAGCCTTGAAAATGGAGGCCTTTGGCTCGTATTTATAGGCCCCGGATGTGGTTATTTGGATGAGAACAAGTGATTTGACTTTATCTTCAGTTAACAACAGCCTAACCATGTTTGGGGATGATATCTAGTCAGTTAGGAACCCTTGGAACAGATAAATCCTGTGAAAACAGCTTTAAAACCGTCAAAACGTGTTTTGGGTTTCGGACTACGCGGCGCGGGTCAGATAGGTCCAACCCGCACTTGCGCGGGTCGGTCACACCCGACCCGCACTTGCGCGGGTCGGATGCATCCGACCCGCGCTTGCGCGGGTCGGTTTGTTCCGTCCTGCGCTCGCGCAGGTTTTCGACTTTTTTTCTTTTCCTGTTCTCTTTCTTTCGAAACTTGTTCTCTTCGCGTGTTTGGTTCGCTTTGTTGACTTGTATGTTTCGCCGCGAGACCGATCGTCCAATGCTCGTTGGTTAATATACGCGTGTTGATCGATGCGCACGGACTGATTGGCGTGCGCGTGTTGACCGACGCGCACGAGCTAGTTGACGTGCGCGCGTTGACCGACGCACACGATCTGGTTTGACGTGCACGCGCTGATTAGGTGAATTTTCTTGACTCGCCCATTCATTGCTTCGAGTTTCGTGCGGGCTCTCATTAGTAATTTTAGACGCCTACAAATACCCCCTCCAAAGTGTTTCAGCCTCATTCTTTTATAGAAGAGTCTGAAATGCTTTGGATATGATGGATCCCCACCTTCAGTTGGTGTTAAAGGACCTACAGATGGTTTCGATTCTTGACTTCTCCAATTTTTTAGCATATTCTGTGTTTTGTAGAATAGTTAAGATTTTCCCGATACTGCGTTTATCGTCTAACCGTTATTGAAGCCTTGAACCAAAATTGGTGAATAGATTTTTGTTGATGTGTCATTGAGTTAACTTTTGGATCAATCGCAACGCGTTGACCGGCATTGACCTAGGGCTACGCGTTGATCCGTGTTGACCTTAGGGTTTCGTGTCGATCGGCGTTGACTCTCATCGCAACGCGTTGACCGACGTTAACCTTAGGGTTTTGAATCGATCGGCATTGACTCTCATCGCAACGCGTTGACCGACGTTAACCTAGGGCTACGCGTTGACCGATGTTGACCTTAGGGTTTTGAATCGATCGGCGTTGACTCTCATCGCAACGCGTTGACCGGCGTTGACCTAGGGCTACGCGTTGACCGGCGTTGACCTTAGGGTTTTGAATCGATCGGTGTTGACTCTTATCGCAACGCGTTGACCGGCATTGACCTAGGGCTACGCGTTGACCGGTGTTGACCTTAGGGTTTTGAATCGATCGGCGTTGACTCTCATCGCAACGCGTTGACTGGCGTTGACCTAGGGCTACGCGTTGACCGGCGTTGACCTTAGGGTTTCACATTAACCTGAGGAGAACCAATTTATACTCGTATGCTCCTGGGAGTTTCGGGAATTAGTTTAGCCTTGTATTTGTGAACCTAATTATGTAGATTATTTTGTAATACACTTGTACACCGAAAGGAGTGTGTGGTGAGAAACGGGGTCGTCCTAAGAGGAGTGCAGTAGGTGGTAATGCCTTGAAGTAAGTTGTAATTCCTAACACTTGAGGGAGATACGGACTAGAGACCAATACTTAAGAGGGTGTAAAGTGGGATTGCAAGAGTGTGAGATTGTAAAGTTTTCGGTTAGCTAGAAAACCGAGTGTGAGGTGTAAACGTTATTCGGGTGAGCGTAGAAAACCCGGTTGTGATAGTGAATTTCTCCCCGAGAGTGGGGAGCGGAGACGTAGGACGGAAGGTCCGAACTCCGTGATCATATTGTGTGTTTGTATTGTTTATATTGTCCTATCACAATTGTATCTTTAGTTTAGATTGTTTATTCTTGTGTTAATTTATATATCCTTGCATATATTTCATCATATACCTTTTTGCTATGATATATCTATTTGTTCATATTGTATATTCTTGCTCATAACATATTGTATATCTATCTTGCAAGAATAATATTTAAATTGGCATTTAAATCGGATTAGATTAGCATAAGACCCTAATCATCCCCCTCTAGGGTCTAACAAATGTACGCTAAATATGTATATTTTAAAATTCATGATTTTCATGGGGCTATAAAAAAATTTATCAAATTTTCGATCATTTTGTTACAATAATATTTAAGTACGTGTTCTACAAATATAGTTATTCTTGTGAGATATAACTTATGATCTTTGTCTATTTTTGCTCGTTTTGACTAATGTCAATTAAATACGTGTAATTTGACTATAGAGATTTTCATGGACTATTATCCTTTTTTTTAATATTTTTTCATGTTTCAGCCCAATGATAATCAAGTATGTATACTTTAAATTTTGAGATTTCATATAACCCATGGATTTTTCCTTTTTTTCATTAGTTTTGACCTAATTTCAATTAAGTATGCGTTCTTTAAATTTTGAGGATTTCATGGGGCTATTATCCAAAATATTTGTTCTTTTTTTTCGCCTCAATGATAATTTAATATGCATATGTTAAATTTCACAATTTTCATAGCATATAAACCCACTATTTTTTATATGAATTTTAGTTCGTTAAGACTCAATGGCAATTTGATATGTGTGCCCTAAATTTAGCCATTTACATGATTACAAACCGATGTTTTTTTTCTTATTTTTTTCTCGTTTCGAATTAGGCTATGCATACATTAAATTTTACAATTTCATTGACCATAATCCATGATTTTTTTTTTAATTTTCCCTCGTTTCGACCCAATGATGATTAATATGTGTATTTTAAGTTATACAATTTTTTTGACTTATAACCCAAAGATTTTTTTTTTCTTCTATTTTTGTTTGTTTCAACCCAATAATAGTTCGATTTAATTTCACATTTTAATTGAGCTATGACCTACGATTTTTGTCTTTTTTCACTTGGTTTGACCTAATGGTAAGTTACGCATATTTTAAATTGTGTGATTTTCATGGGCTATAACCCAATTAAACATGTGCAGTTCAAACTCACAATTTTCTTAGGCTATATCCATCAATGTTTGTCCATTTTGTTCATTTCGACTCATTGTAAATTTAGTATGTGTACTTCAATATTCACGATTTTCATCTCATATCCATAAATTTTTTATTTGTTTCAACCTAATGTTGAAGTGTACAAACTTTAATATTCACGATATTTATATACTATATGCCACAAATGTTCTATTTTCGTTTGTATCAATCCAATGGCAATTACGATGTGGTACTTAAAATATGTGTTTTCTATGGGTAAGCTCAAGAATTTTGTTCATTTTGGCCAAATGACAATTAAGTATCTATACTTTAAATTAATAATCTTCATGAGATACAACCCACAAACTTTTTACATTTTCGTTTATCTCAATTCAATAAGTATGCATATTTTAAAATTTGTGATTTTCATAAAGAAAAGGGAACATGCCTCTACCCCTCAGCTTAAAAACCGCATGTCTGCCCCCTTGCCAAAGATTCTTGTGAGCTCTCGACCTTGAAACCGTCTTTCTTACTTTATACCCCCATTATATCACATCCACATGACCGTTCATTAAAAAAGGTTTTTTTTTAAGATATTAGTCCCTTAAATCATAGATATTCATCTTAGGTATTTTGATATTAGTTTTCCAATATTTTTGTATTTTGATATTAGTCTTCCAAATCACCTTAATATGCTAATATTTGTCCTTTCATTATCTTAAATGTTAAAAGTTCTAAACTACGATTGGATTTAGACTATCCAGGGATGAATAATCACCTCCATGGGTATTCTCACCATCTCTTCCATCATCATCACCACCACCTCCACGACTGTCATCTCCACCTCTGCATGAATTGTCACCGTCTCATCCATCTCGACCACCACCATCTCCACCACCGACGGTATTATCGTCTCCATCTCCATCTCCTCCACGGCTCCACCGCTATCTTCTCACCTCCATACATCCTCTGCTGATATTCTCACCTCCCCCACTATTACTATCACCATCATCACCTCCGCCAATAATGTCGCTACAACCATTCAAGAATATGAAGAGAGATGGATATAACTGTTCATTTAAGAAAAAAAGTTAGAGAAAACAAAAATATTGCTCTCTTTTGAACTCCATCTATTAGCATATTTAGGTAATTGGAGAGACTAATATTAAAATATGAAGATTTGAGAAACTGATATAAAAAAAACCTATGAATTAAGAGACTAATATATCTTAAAAAAACCCAAAAAAAGGGAATCTCAAGAATAACCCTCTAACATCGCGCAATTGAGTGTGGTCTTGAAGGGGAAAGCGCATATGGACAAAACATCGCTTTTTTTTTCCCTTGTCGTCTCAAGCCCAGAAATATCTCAATTTTTCTCTTCATTGCAAGTAAAACGCAGGGTTTGTACTTGCAGTGGATCGATTTCAGTGGCGGAAACTCCTTCGTACATCAGATCTGATGCAAAGTTTGGTATCACTGGTTTCGAACCGAAGCAAAGTTTGATATCGCTATTATATTTATAGTAAACCCAGAAAAAAAAAGGATAAAAAATAATTGATATATATTTTTAACTATTCAATATTACTGTGGACTGAAAATTACCAAACCAGTGTCACTCATTTTCGACATGAACAAGTATAAGCCTAAAGGAGTTAATTGACTTTCACAAAATGCATCCAGGGGGGCCTGCGATACTCAGATGCACCATATCAATAAATGCCTACAAATTGGAGAAGAGTAAAAGAGTGGCATGTATTCTCTTCAGCCATCGTGTTCTTGAACCAACAATATGATGATCAAACAATCTGTATAGGCAGTAAATAATATAACTTCAACATCATATGCTGCGGGGACACACTACCAAAAATCACAATTACGAACTTCGCATCACAGAAGAAAATTAAGGAATTCCATTTGTGTCTGAATGTTGCCTGAAAAAACACTTTTCTTCTTTCCATAGTACAGGAAACCGTTCTTTGGTTCATCAATATCTATCAAATAATTCCAAAAACAAATTGAGGAAGTATGCTCTACGCTATGTATACAAATATAGTTGCTGACATCCACATATGAGTTGCGGAGAAAATCTTCAAGTCGACCTCATTCATGATCTTTGTCAAATAACAGACGAGGCATACTCTTCTGCATCAAGGGAAATCTACAGACTCCAAATGCAGCATCAGGATGCCGAATCAAAACTGGCTCTTTGTGATAACTTATGGCTGAAGACGAACATCATTATAAATGTTGAAAATGAGGGAATTTACAATCTGGACCATTAAGCTGATACGGAGTAAAACGGTTTTCAACCCTGTGATCAGTAAACCCAGGATTTAAATCTCGATCAGCTTGATAACGATCAAATACAGAAGAAAATTGGTGTGGAACAGGAGGCTTCCAGTGCTCTTCTTGATAACTCAAATGAGGTGCAGATGGAGCTTGGTTGTGGTATTGCTGCCTACAACCAACGTGAGAAGAAACCGACAAATAAGCAAGTTGAGGTGGTAAAGATGACTGTGGTTGACCTAAATGGGAAGTTTCAAACGGATTGATATGATGTTCTCTGTGACTAGGTTTGAATGGAGCAAGCGGGTTTAGAGGAAGGGAAAAATTGGACAAATTATTGAGGGGAATTGGTGGTTCTTGAAATGGAGCAGGAGGGTTAAAATAATGCAGATCATCGGTATACCTCATTCTTTTAGCTGTGATTGGATTAACAATATCAGGTCCATGAAAGGGACTTAGCCTCTTCAAACTCATTTGTTCACTAGTTTGATGATTACTTGAATCATTCAAAGCAAAGAATCCAAACAACTGCTTCTTTAGCTCTATTTCTCCAATTTCAGGCCTCATGAGGCTTAAGAAAAAATTAAGGGAATCCCATATGCAATTATAGATTTTCTTCATCTCAGCTTTTCCAACTGATCTTGCTACGTTTTGAGACCGATCTAAAAAGTCTTCAATCTGAATGATGAACCAAGAAACACATTGACTCACTTAATTCAATTGCACTACCAACATTATTGTAATGATGGACTTGAGTAAACCACTTACACTCATATTGCCAGTTCCGGTTGCCATCCACGAACCTTCAAAAGTACTAGCAGAGAGACCTTGTGACCATAAACCCTCTACTGCTGATAACTATACAGAGAACATACAAATAAGATAAGCATTAGTAAGCATAGAAGATTCTAACAAAACAATGATAAAGCACCAATAAAATAACTTATTTTTTGCTTATCCTTCTTCTACTTTTATGAAGATGACATCTGAAATTGTCAACGTAAAATAGCTTTAGCAAAATATTTGCATAAATTTTTCATTAATAAGATAAACGCCAAACTGATTTTCTCAAGTGACTGGCATACTAAATACAAACTTCAGTTTGAAGCAAGTAAGCAATGTAGTACGGACCATTATAGCATCAAGCCTTCGTGTTGCGGACAATGCATCAATATTTGAACACTTACTAAACATGTTGACAAGTTTGAATATGTTTTTAACTTCCTAAAATCTTTTAGACACTTCTCAAACCAAGATGAGAAAGTGAGATATGGTAGGAGACATGGATAAGGGGAAAATAGCCCCAAAATTTAAGACAACAGTGTAATAATTTGGGTTTACTACTTGCCAGACTTGTTATTTGAAAAAAAGAGGCAATGCAACAAAGAATTATACACAGCCTAGGTAAGCACTTATTTCCTTCACCTACTACAGGGGTTTCTAGATTCCTTATGATAGATGCTTTCACAACCCTCAGATGGGAAAGGATAAGAGAAAGAATGCTAGAGAAAGTACAGGGCATATAAAAATGGAGTTAAATATAATCATGACATAATCTATCAAATGAATATTGTAAGAAAGATTCAAGTATTAAACAGGGTAGAGGAAGCAATAACAAAGGAAGAAGCAAAGAAAATACAGATGAGGAAAAATCAGCAAAACATTTTCTAGCAGCGATGGCAGTGAAAAATATTGAAGGTGAGGGTTTCACATTCTTTTTATTTATTGCTTCTTTCTTCCTTCTTCCTTTTTCTTTTGCCAGAGAAGAAGAACAAATCAGATGGCAAAGCCAAACGAAGTTTAAAAACTTGCCCCTACACTAATCATTCACTATCTTACAGCAAGTACGTTCCCAGAAAGAGACTAGTGGAACCAACATGAGGGAGAACTACTAAGCTGCTTAACCAAAATAAGGATGACAATATTTTGATTCCTTTAACTAGTCAAAGTAATAGTTATATTTTTTACTAATGTAATGGATTCTTCACAGTAGTTATCCCAATAAACTGCTAAAAGATTTACTCAGTGACCTCCCTTATTTTATGGTTATCAAAACCTTGAAAACTACGAAATAAAACTTCATACCTTGATTAATAGAGTTATGAAGAGTTTAGCTACACTTTCTTTATTTCTACTCCCAAAGTGTTTAAATCCAACAGCAACTTTTTGTATGCTTGATACATCAGTTCCATCTGCAAAAATGAAATTATGGATGAAATATGTTACCAGTTAAGCTAATGATGCAAAACTAAATATTAAAGAGAAGAATAAGTTAAAAGAGCACAAATTATTGAAGTCCATTTCTACATGTGATGCCCTGTCTTTATCACCTTATCAATAACACCTAGTGGAAATATACTCAAAAATTCAAAGTAAAAGTAATTAAATTGAATGCAGTATTCTCTTCAAATCAAATTGTAGCTAAGTATACTAATCTGAAAGGGTTTTTTGTCGATATATGCCCTCTAGATTATAGATATTTTTAAATTTGCCCTCCAAATCTTTATAATTTTAAATTTACCCTTCAAATTGTTTCCTTATTCCAAATTTACTCCTAACCTAGCTACAATTAAAATTTTAACCATATTTAGGATTCAATTAACTTTATACCCCTCTTTAATTATAGGAGAAACTATGAATCCATAAAATCCCAAGAATTGGCCATTCTCTTAATTCAATTTCGCACCCAAGCCCAATGACGGAGCATGATCATCTCCCATCATTTTTGTTGCAATAGTTATCATCTGATCATTACGGTAAACTCAATCAAGCCTAAAGTTCTGGGTTGGCAACCCCGACTAATTAAAGAAGTATTTTTTTTAATCGACCCAGTTTCAGCTCACACTTCTGACGTGGGCAAAACTAGGTCGGTTTTTGTAAATAAATTTGAAATGAGTCAGATTTTGGGGAATAAAATTGTAAATGGGTCTATTTTAAAAATTTCTCCTTCCACAAGAATATCTGATTCTAGCCTTGTTAAATAGGCTGCAACTCTAGTAGTTGCAAACACAAGAAGATGAGCGGTTGTGCCTAGTGTTTAGGGCCAAAAGGAAGAGCACAGTTGTGGTAGCCTCTTCCATTGGCTGGGAAGAATGTCAATGGCTCGCTCTAGTTTAATATAGGGACAGGGAATGCGAGTAGACAATGCAAATTGACTATTCTCATTTTAACTAATTTCACAAAGGTTAAATTAGGCATTTTCAAAAAGTATTAATTACTTAAACAGAATATTCCATTTAGATGATCCAGCAATTAATCTTTGTGAATTGAGGGGTAAATTTAGAATTATGATGATTTAGGGAGAAACATTAAAAATACCTACAAATTGAGGGGTATATTCGAAAAAACCCAGTATTTGCAGTATTTGAGGGACTAAATAGAAATTTCAATGATTTAAAGGACTAAATATAAAACAATTAAGGGACAAAGGTAGAATCCCAAAAACAGGTTTTTTACATATACCTCTTAAATTTTGCGCAATCCAAATTTCACTATCCACAAAATTATCACCAAATCATAACCAAATTTGGGAAAATCTTTCCTCAAAATGGGAAAATCATCAATTTTGATAGGCTACCTTGTAATTAAAATATAAAACAACCATCCACAAAATAGTCACTGACCAAATTACAAGACCCATTGGAATTTGATGGACTTATGAGCAATTTAAAAGATTTGATGGACTTATATAAAATTATTAAAGATTTTAGGGATTAACCTGGTACAGAATATTTCCTTCAAGAGAGATATATAAGAAACAATATCTTGGGAAAAAAAATAATGATGTTAAGGATCAAACTCCTGACCGCGTGGATTCCTACCAAGAGGACTAAATTGTTAATTGTTGTCTTCTCTATCTAGTTTGGATTTAACTTTTGAATGATGTCAACAAAGTATTACTGATGGGGTCAGCATGAGGTGAATCTTTAACATGAGGTCTTCGAAAACTATCCAGATTTGTTTGTCATAATGGAATGCGATCGGCAACATTGGAAACGAAGGATAAGGGACCACAAACGTCAGTATGGTATTGTTCACTCATAAACAATAACTTTGTATTGTTCATCCATGAACAGAGTTTTGAGTAACGCGCTACCTAATTATTTTAGAAATTGCTTGAAATGGATCAAGGGTTAAGATTTGAGATAGTTTTGTGGGGCTTTTGGATGGATGAATGGGACTGAAACTGGAGGAGGTTTTTTTCGATAAATAACTAGGCTTAGCACCCAGAGGCCTCACACCCAAGGGGCTTCACACCCTAAAGAGGTAAATTACATACCAAGAACAAGCAATTCACACGCTCAGAATTTTCATAACTCTTTTCATTAATCAAGGTCTAATTCCTCATGGAGGATTACAACTGTATTGTATTTATAGAGTAAACTAAATATGAAATTTAAATCAAATTCTAATTAAAAGGAAACAAAGTAAAATCTCAAACAAAGTAAATTCTCAAAGATCCTAAAATTGCATCCTCAGAAAATCTTACCTAAAAATAAAGATTATATCATATGATATAAAAAAGAGATACTAGCAAATACTAAAATCTTTTGATCAATGACCCACGATCGTCCTATAATCCAAACCACCCACAATAAACAATATTTTAGACCATTACAGAATGTTCATTTTTAGGTCAATAGATATATAAACTTGAAATATTTATTCTCTGTGATTTTCGATCTCTATGAAATTTTGAACGCACAGATCATAATGAATAGTGTGGATCTTTAATATTCATGGTCAAACATGTACGTTTACACTCTCTTTGTGATTTTTGATCTCTATGAAGTTTTGAACGCATAGATTATAATAGGTGGTGTGGATCATTAACATACGTGGCCAAACATGTATATATACACTCTATGTGATCTTCGATCTCTTTAAAGTTTTAAGCTCATAGATCATAATTAAGGGTGGAAACGAATCGAAGATGAACGAATAATCCCTTCTTCGAATTCGAATTCGGTTCTTATTGAAGAATTCAAATTCAAATTTGAATTCGACTCGAATACAAAACGAGCTTCGAATTTGATTCATTTAGTTGCATAGCTATTTGAGAAATATTCGCGAATATTCGTTTATGGGAGGGGGCCATGAGTTGAGAGAGAGAAGAGTGTCGGCGGAGAAGACCATTGTTGGCGAGAGAGAGCATCTGTTGCCGAATACCATCGGAGAAAGAAGAAGAAGAGACCATCGAGTGGGATTTGGGGCTGAGACATGCTGCATAAACTTGAAAAGCAAAACATAGAAACCCTAGGTGTAAACTAGCAAAGCTGTGATTTGGCTTTTAGGCATGAGACAAGGCCCAACGTGAAATCAATAAGCATAACTGGTCTATTAACTATGTCATCAGGTTCGTTTACTTTAAATGTCTTAATTGGGTTTAGCAAATGAACTTTTTGGTTTTTCTTATTTGCGTAGGTTTGGATTTGTAATAAGAGTTTTGGATGGGTAGTTTTTGTATTAAACTAATAGAATTAAAGTATAAAATATAAACGAATACTTAGTGATTAGACGAAGCGAATACATATTTGGTTAAATTCTATTCATTTATAAACCTAATACTAAAAATTATTCATTTAATGTTAAATGAATGACTGAATCGGATATGACCAAATACTTAGCCGAACAAATAACGAACTATTTATTAATTATTTGGTTCGCTTCCACCCCTAATCATAATGAACGGTGTTTATAGTTAATATTTGTGGTCAAACACGTGTGTATATATACATACATACATGCATGCATACAAACACACGCACACACACACAAACACATATACACATATGTAAAAATTAATAGTTTATATACGATCAACATTATTTTAATGTTATCAGATAAAAGCTCCTACCAAATTTTAATGTTTCTTCTATTATGTAGACTATTGATTGGAAAACCAATTTCGTTTTTCAACTAGACTGAAACCACCCATTAAAATCATAGTTTTGAACCAGGTATGGACTTAAATGATCCTAACCCATGTTCACCAAATTCCAAGAAGTGAATGTGAAGTGTAGTATATACGTCCAAGAAGTGTATGACAGAGGTTTTAAATTAAAACATGTATAATATAATTGAGTACACGTCTAAATAAATGTGTAATTTGTATTCAAGCAGACCATATGCATCGGGCATGGGTAAAGCTTCAAAATTGAAGTACTCACGCGACATAGTTTGGAAGAAAATCCATTTCAATCCAAGTCAATCATAGGAGAACCAAATTGAACTACTCTATTCAAATTGTTCTACATCATTTGAAGTGCTAAAAATGAAAAACCAAGTGAACTTAATCCTTTTCCCCCTGCAGCAAGTTTGCAACAGCCAAAACAAGTTCTTGGCTATAAAATAGTGCTCAAATTTAGTCATTTTTTACTTCACCGTTTATCTACAGCATCAGATTGTGTGGTTTTTTTTTTTTTTTGCTCTATGGGTGGTTTTTTTTTGGGGGGGGGGGGGGGGGGGGGTTGTTTTTGAGAAAGAAGAAGAAGAGACCATCGAGTGGGATTTGGGGCTGAGACATGCTGCATAAACTTGAAAAGCAAAACATAGAAACCCTAGGTGTAAACTAGCAAAGCTGTGATTTGGCTTTTAGGCATGAGACAAGGCCCAACGTGAAATCAATAAGCATAACTGGTCTATTAACTATGTCATCAGGTTCGTTTACTTTAAATGTCTTAATTGGGTTTAGCAAATGAACTTTTTGGTTTTTCTTATTTGCGTAGGTTTGGATTTGTAATAAGAGTTTTGGATGGGTAGTTTTTGTATTAAACTAATAGAATTAAAGTATAAAATATAAACGAATACTTAGTGATTAGACGAAGCGAATACATATTTGGTTAAATTCTATTCATTTATAAACCTAATACTAAAAATTATTCATTTAATGTTAAATGAATGACTGAATCGGATATGACCAAATACTTAGCCGAACAAATAACGAACTATTTATTAATTATTTGGTTCGCTTCCACCCCTAATCATAATGAACGGTGTTTATAGTTAATATTTGTGGTCAAACACGTGTGTATATATACATACATACATGCATGCATACAAACACACGCACACACACACAAACACATATACACATATGTAAAAATTAATAGTTTATATACGATCAACATTATTTTAATGTTATCAGATAAAAGCTCCTACCAAATTTTAATGTTTCTTCTATTATGTAGACTATTGATTGGAAAACCAATTTCGTTTTTCAACTAGACTGAAACCACCCATTAAAATCATAGTTTTGAACCAGGTATGGACTTAAATGATCCTAACCCATGTTCACCAAATTCCAAGAAGTGAATGTGAAGTGTAGTATATACGTCCAAGAAGTGTATGACAGAGGTTTTAAATTAAAACATGTATAATATAATTGAGTACACGTCTAAATAAATGTGTAATTTGTATTCAAGCAGACCATATGCATCGGGCATGGGTAAAGCTTCAAAATTGAAGTACTCACGCGACATAGTTTGGAAGAAAATCCATTTCAATCCAAGTCAATCATAGGAGAACCAAATTGAACTACTCTATTCAAATTGTTCTACATCATTTGAAGTGCTAAAAATGAAAAACCAAGTGAACTTAATCCTTTTCCCCCTGCAGCAAGTTTGCAACAGCCAAAACAAGTTCTTGGCTATAAAATAGTGCTCAAATTTAGTCATTTTTTACTTCACCGTTTATCTACAGCATCAGATTGTGTGGTTTTTTTTTTTTTTTGCTCTATGGGTGGTTTTTTTTTGGGTGGTGGGGGGGTGAGGGGTTGATTATATAAAAATTACAATTATAAATTAAATTCATTCTTGAATAAATTACTGCATATGTTCTAATACTAACAATACTGTTAAAGGTCCAAATAACACATTCAAATGTGATGTCAATGTCGAGTTTTTATATAATTTGGGAACTTAAGCTTTCTCCCTAAAAATAAAGCAATTAACTATGGCTTTGGGTTCCTCAGAATGATTAGGTACCCCTAATAGCCGTACATACAAAAAGATCTTTCAACAATCATATCCTTAGTGGACCTCTTAACGAAGATGACTTGCCCATTGCATGCCCATCTCCCAGATAATTTGGAGCAACTCTGAAAACATTTTTTTGGCTCCACTAAGCATATATACAAAGTTGATCTAACCAAAACTAGTAGACTAAGAACTTCTGACTAACCAACTTTTCCACTAACAAACCCATAACCAAACATAGCTTTTCTCTTATGCATCGTTTGGTACGCGAGAATGGAGTCAAGTGAGAATGGAATGAAGTTAGAAAAATAATGGAATTGATGCGGGAATGGAATGCTCATTCTCATTCTCATGTTTGGGTGCTATTAGAAAATTAAGTGGGAATATCCGTAAGAAGGGTATATCTGGAATTTATTTTATTATTTTTATTTTTACTTAAGTGTGAATATCAATTCATTGATAACTCACTAGGAATATCAATTCCAACATTAAGTGGGAATTGATGAGAAGTGTGAATAACATTTCTAGCACTCACAAACACATCATGTTTGGTAAGCATAAATAAGAAGTTAGAACTGCATTCCATTTTTGCTCATTCCCGCAATACCAAACGGGACGTTAGGGTTTTAAGTTGCATGGTCATACAATATAATTCAGTTCTATTCAATGTAGTTTGCGGACTAATGTTTTAAATATCGGATATCAGGAAAATATCGGATGGCCAAAATTCATATCGGATTGCGGATATCAGGGATATATTGTGGATATGTTGAAAATATTGGAATGAATAACCAATGTTTGCATATATAGTATAATGCACTAAAATGTAATATCAACATACTTAGAAAATCTAAGCATACAAAATGTAAATAATAAATGTTTGGTATCCCTAATCAACTTTGTAAAAAAACAAAAGTACAAATCAACATTGCAACATTTCGTCTGATTTTTTAAGCCAAAACGTCATTTGATATAATGGGGGAAATCATAGTATCTAGCCGAAAATTTGCCAAACGCGATATATTGTTTTAGAACTAGCCATATAAAAGGATATATCAGCCAACATATTGTCTGATATATTGGCCACATCGGGGATATATCACCCAAGATACCCAAAATGTGGTAAAGGATATTTAGAGACCACATCGGTTGCATCAAGCCTTGTAAAAGGATATATCGGACCATGCTAGGGATATTTAAAACAATGGCAGACTACAAATCTATATCAAGCAGAGTTGACAACCCTTACAACCCCCTC